GATGGTATTCTAGATGTGCATCTATGTCTAGGAGTATGTGGTCTGACTCTGGGTGGCAGCAAATTATTAAGTGAGAGAATGTGGTCAGAAACTTTCCATTCTACTTCATTTGGTACATGAAATATCGTTTCGACATACGATGCTCTCCAACAACCTGCCATGTAACAATAACTGCATAAGATTTGTGTTGGAAATCCTCTATGCATAGTCATTGCCACTGCATGTGTACATGGAAAACTTTCCAACTGAACTGACTAGATGTGCACATGTTATCATTCAAGTCCATAATATATCCGATATTACGTCCACATGTGACGGAGAAGCGAAATTTTCCAGTGGTTCCACACATACCTTTCACGCCACCTTCAAAGTCCTAAAGAGTTTATTTTCCTGAGCCGGGGTTAGCACACTTGTGCAACTCTGTGATTCCTTACGTTGATCATGAAACCACTGTTGTAGCTTGTTATGAATGTGTTCAATTATTGTGAGAATTAGTAACTCTAGATCCTTCTTGAACAATGTATTGAGCGATTCCACATTGTTCGACATAATCATATTGTATCAAAGTTCTAAAAAATGTGATCGTGCCCAATGTTTGATCCCCATCTCTGTTAGATACTTCCATGCAGCATATGATTTACTTTCTATATTGACCAGAAACTTATCAAACTCTTCAAAACTGTAACCCTCTGCAGCTCTCCTAAATAATGCAAGGACTCCATTGTCCCGATACTTAGTCTTTAGGTTGCCTTGTATATGGTGCATACAATAACCGTGATGTACCTTGGGAAAGACTTTGGTGATATCATTTATTATTGACCGCCAACCATCGCTAGATCATTCTCTCTATCGAATATGTCAAATGCAATAGAATAATTTGGATGTTGGCATCTTAACATGTTATAATAATCAACTTGCCGTCGTATCTAGTCTTAAGGATGTACCGTTGACTAGAATTAGGGGTCGCATCACATTTCGAAATCCTCAAGTGTATTGTCCAATGGCCATGAAGAAATACCTGAAGCGATTTTCTCCATCCGTCTCAATAAAAAATGCCGATCCAGAATTAGTTTTCTCCATGTTATAGCAATACCTGACCAATTTAGCATAACTGTTCTCAACCAAACCCATTAAGTCATCTAATGTGCAATCCTTAGCTTTTCAGACCTTCTGATAGCTCATAACCACCCTATATTCTCGAGGAATGTCATTAATGATGTCTGCAAGTATATAGATTGATTGTGAATCCTGAACCTTTTGCATTATTTGTCAACCAATGAACCATGTTTCTAGCATGCTTGTGATTATTTCGACGAATGCCAACTTCGCATGTATGTTCCCGTGTATATTTAAGAACTACAAAAAAATTATTCGAGTCCATCTTCGTCGCTCGCAAATGCCAATGGCAACTGTCATCAATGCAGATAACTGTGTATGTCGACTTATTTTATTTCTTTACTTTAAACTCATAGTTGTGTTTTAAAGCAATTCGGTGCACAACTTTTTGCAATTCTTTCTTTGTTTCAAATAGATACTCGACGTACAAATCTTCATCGTCAAGAACTATATGCAAACAATTAGATAACCGTGTACTCGTTCCAGCCTGTGATCTCCCACCCGACTCATGTCTTTGATGGGATAATGCCATCAAATCTTCATTTGTAAATTTATTTTCATTCTCGTTGTCTTGAACTATTGAGAGAATTCTATGCTTAACAGTGACGTTATGGTGAGGCACAACTGTTTGGGGAATAGTCACATAATCCTCATGAACTATCTCCATCGTGTCCCAAAAATCATTCACATTACGATCCTCTTCGTCAGAATCTTCGTGCTCATTCTCAGGGACATTTTTTTTAACTAAAGTTACACAAATACGAGTTGTACGATTTTGGTTCAATTCAATTAGAACCTTCATCTCAATTTCGGAAGTAACCATTATAGGTGGAATTGAAATGGGCGTATTCTCGCTGAACAAAAATCTCAAATTCATGTCGTACTAAGAGAGATCTACGTTGAGCTCATTTTGTAAATCGTGGTATAATTATGTATACGATGTACTCGATTTTATCACAATTGTAGTGACACCATGTCTTTTGCACGCCCATTTATACACCCATCGATCATTTTTGTTCATTTCAAATTCACTAAAGTAACAAAACGGGACTACAACTGATTACATATCTGCATTATGAAATATAATTTGTTAAAAATATAATTATTAGGAGATTAAAAAGGACTTTAAAATCTATTCGGACCAACAGTTGGCCTATCCAGCTAGATCCAGCCCGTCGTTGGGCAATGCCGCCCTAGGCGGCGGGCCGACTGTCGGGTCTTGTTCAAATGAATTTTTTTTCCAATGTTGCTTAAAAAATTATAGATCAATCTAAGATTGTAAAAATTTATTTGCCTATGTAAAAAATAAGTTTTAACGACTAAAATAAGTTACTAATTCAAAAAAAATGAAATTAATAATATATAAATATACTTACTGATTTGAAGTGCTATCTAGAAATAATATTTTTTTGCTGAGCCTTTGATAAATTTATGAGATTTCAAGATTGAAGCAAATGAAAAATAAAACGATTTTTGTCTGTGTTGGAGTAAACAAATAAAAAAAGTGATTTGATTTTGAAATTTTGTGTGGGAAGTGTTTGGAATTCTTTATAACTTAAAAGGGTATAATAGTCTTTTAAACATTACCATTTTTTATAATTGTGTGACAACATAAGAGTAATTTTGTCTTTTACACATTAAGAGGTCATTGTGGTGAATGACAAAAAAAATTTGGTCAAAGTGAAAAATGGTAAGTATGACTTGGCCTCATTAAAAAGTACTCTTGCTCATAGATCATTACTCTCGTTTCTTTCTCCCTCTTTCTTTTTTTCTGTCTTTCTTCTACAGCCAAAAAAAATAATATTAGCAAATACAACTACCTAAAAAAAAAAAGATTAGTAAACATCTTTTTTTCTATTTTACATTTGTCTTTAATTAAAAATTTAGATGAAATGTCTTTTCAAGAAAAAAAGGGACAATTCCAATAGAATGCCAAAACCTCGAACTTTTTGACGATTTCAAAAACATCCCACTTTTCCATATATTGACTTTTTAGCTGGGGAAATCTTACAGAATAAAGCTCAAGGGAGCAGTTTGGAAACTTGGGAAAGGGAGGGATCCCCATGAAATTGTGAACCATTTGCTCTATCCATTAAGCGCCTGTTTGGGGCCATCTTTTAGGAATTTTAAGCCAAAATTGACCTGTTATACAGCACACAGACCCGTACAACCACAATTTTTGACTATCACAATGATACCTGACGCTGGGTAGGATAGTGATTATCCTATTGGCTTGTTGTGGCAGATGATTCGCAAGAAAGAAACGACAGAAAATGCCAAAAACCCAGAGAAAATACTCTGAAATTAACTCAATATTATTAATAATGCAGAATCACAAAAATTAACCCACAAGTCGGGTTAAATAGCTGCGAACTACGAAAATATGGGAAAATTACCAAAAATAGCAAAATCTCGAAATTATACCAGAATAAAATATTAAGTAAAAGAAGTAGATTGCCAAAAATTTGGCTCAATTTGAGTTTTTTAACATATGGAAAAAAAGGAAACGAAATATTACCATAAATAGCAAAAAATAACTTAAAATTGAATTTTGGCAAGGAAAATAGCGTTTTAGGCTCGAAATTGATGCCCATCGAGCATAGCTATGGCCACGACGTGCGCGCCGAAGAGAACTTTTCGGATTGGGGTCATAATAGCGATTCCGATAACCGTAGCCAAAGTTATGGCCAAATTACCAAAGGCGCATCAAATTCCCCTAATCAAGGAAATAATTGTGATTCACTTTCCATCTTTGTGCCGATCTGCCATCTCGTGGTATTCATCGTGCTATCTGACAAATCATCATCACTCGACTTGGATCCTCTTGCATCAATCGCCCCGAGTTGGAAAGAACTCGCCCTCGAGTTCCCAGAAACTTCATCGGACTCCACAAAACAAGGGCTTAGGTGTTTCACATTGAAGACGTCAAAGGTCTTCAAATGGTTAGGGAGGCGCAACCTGTAAGCATTATCATTGATCTTCTGTAGCACTTCACAAGGTCCAATCTTCCGCTCCTTTAACTTATTGTATTCCCCAGCTAGAAAATGATCGCGAGTTAATACTGCCCAAACAAAATCACCAACATCAAACGACACTTGGCGTCGATGACTATCTGCCTGAGCTTTGTACTTAGTATTACTATCTTGTATGGACAACTTCACCTGCTCATGGATACCCCGAAGATAGTCAGTCATCTCATCCGCTTTGTTATTAAAGCGACCCACACGTGGAATTGGAGCCAAATCAAGTACCCCGGATGGGTTCCGACCATAGATAATTTCAAAAGGACTCAATCCGGTGGTTCTATACTTCGACCGATTATAAGCGAACTCTACTTGAGGTAATGGCAAATCCCAGTGCTTTGGTTTAGTCCCTACCAAGCTTCTCAAAAGATTTCCCAAACTCCAATTCACCACCTCAGTCTGGCCATCTGTTTGGGGATGGTATGCACTGCTAAAATTCAACTTCGTCCCAAGTTTTCCCCACAAACTCCTCCAGAAATAACTCATAAACTTAGTGTCACGGTCAGAAGTAATTGAATGTGGAACACCATGTAAACGCACAATCTCTCTAAAACAAAGATGAGCAATCTGAGTAGCATCAATTATCTTCTGGCAAGCTACAAAATGAGCCATCTTTGAAAATCTGTCAACCACAACAAGAATGGAATCCATCGCCCGTTGTGTACGAGGTAAGCCCAAGACAAAATCCATACTGACATCAAACCAAGGAGTTTCAAGTACGGGTAATGGTGTGTACAATCCAGCATTAGTAAGAGCCACTTTAGACCGTTGACACACATAACACCACTCCATATAATGCGCCACATCACTGCTCAACTTGGGCCAGTAATAATCAGAAGAGACCAATGCCAATGTCGTGTCTCACCCAAAATGTCCTTCTTTATAAAGTTCACTAATAATCTGTTGCCTTAGTGAACAATCTAGAATGCACAACTGCAATCCATGAAACAGGTAACCATTATGTAAAATAAAATCATGTCGATGGTTATCAGTTGCCTCCCGAATTATCTTCCCAAATGAAGGATCTGCAACATACATATCAGGAAATGCCTCAAATCGGACAATCATGGTGCTCATGGTGGTGAAGAGTAATGTGCGACGGCTCAATGAATCTGCTACTCGATTCAAACTCCTTGCTTGATGCCTTAGTGTGAAAGTAAACTCCTGCAAGTACGCCAACCACTTTGCATGTCGCCTACTCAGCTTGTGCTGACCATTGATGTACTTCAAGGCCTCATGATCAGTAACAAAGATGAACTCCCTCTGTACCAGGTAATGGCGCCAATGCTTCAGAGTCTGAACTATGGCATAGAACTCTAGGTCATAAGTGGAATAATTTTTCTTCAATCCCGATAGCTTCTCACTAAAGAAGGCTACTGAACGCCCCTCCTAACTCAGAACACCACCAATACCAACTCCAGACGCATCACAGTTTACCTCGAATACCTTTTCAAAATCGGGAAGTGCCAAGACTGGGGCCTCCATCATCTTGTACTTAACCAACCGAAAGCTAGCCTCTGTCTCCTCGATCAACTGAAAATCACGCCCTTTGAGGCACTCTGTGATAGGACCAATTAAGGTACTGAAGTTTCTGATGAACCGGCGATAGAAGGATGCCAATCCATGGAAACTCCTAACATCATGCAAAGTTTTTGGTTTGGGCTAATTCAAAACTACCTCAATTTTGGATTGATCTGCATGAACATCATCAGTAAATACAATAAAACCCAAAAAAGTTACAGAAGTTGTGAAGAAAGAACACTTATTCTGATTGATGAATAAGCACTCCGTCCTCATTACATTAAAGATAGCACGAAGATGATTAAAATGTGACTCCCATGTTGAACTATAAATAAGTATGTCGTCAAAATAGACTACCTCAAACTTCCCCATGAAAGGCCGTAAAACCTGATGCATAAACCTCATTAAAGTGCTGGATACATTGGATAGTCCAAAGGGCATGACCATCCACTCGTACAATCCATGATGTGTCTTGAACGCGGTCTTCCACTCATCTCCAGGCCTGATTCTGATCTGGTGGTATCCACTTTTAAGGTCAATTTTTGAGAAAACCTTAGAACCGGACAATTGATCCAACATGTCGTCCAGGCGAGGAAGTGGAAACCTGTACTTCACTGTAATCCTGTTAATTACCCTGCTGTCAACGCACATATGCCACTACCCATCTTTCTTCGGCACTAGTAGAGCAGGAACTACACAAGGACTCATACTCTTACGAATGTAGCCCCTTTCCAATAATTCTACCACCTGTCGCTGCAACTCTTCAGCTTCCTTGGGACTGAGGTGATATGCTGGTCGGTTTGGTAGACTCGACCCCGAAATAAGGTCGATCTAATGTTGAATATCCCTCATAGGTGGTAATCCTGGAGGAAGATCCTCCGGCATCAAGTCAGAAAACTCCATCAGTAGTTGCTACACTTTTGCTGGTAATTCCGAATCCACATTCGCTGCACTATTTTCACGAGGCATTAAAGCATAAACTATTATTTCATGCCCAACCTCAACCAAGAACCTGGACATAGAAAGTAGATTGGTGTTATTAACTACCAGGGTAGGGATGTTTTCTTCCCTGCGAGGTGCCAAAACAATTTTCTTTCCTTTGATGCTAAGAGAATAAGTATTCTTCTACCCATCATGGATAACACTGTGATCATACTGCCAAGGTCGTCCCAACAAAACATGACACGCATCCGTTGATACCACATCACACCAAGCATTATCAAAATATTTTTTTCCAATCGAAAAAGACACTATGCACCGTTTTTCTAAAGTTACCTCACTGCCTTTATTCAGCCAAGACAACTTGTATGGTTTGGGATGACGATCCATCTTCAGTTGTAGTTGTTCGATAGCCTTCTCAGACACTACATTCTCACAACTATCACTATCAATTATCAGCTTGTAGACTTTATCAGCAAGTGTGCAGATTGTGTGGAAAATGTTGGTCCTCAACCAATCATCCCCTGAATCGCCCTTGGGAGTCAGCAAGCTCTTTCGAACGACCAGGGTCTCCTGACCATCTCCATATAGCACATCCTCATCTTCACCATCATCATACACGGGCTCCCCAACTTCCTCGAACTCCTCTATCATATCCTCCTCAATCAGAAGATTTTTATTCTTCTGACCAATAGGCTTCCTGCAATCAGTCGTCCTATGCCCCTGTTCACCATATCTAAAACACTTAGTGCTTGAGCTGGAATTGTCCCGCCATGGCTGATAAGCAGGACGAGATTCTTGAGGGCGAACTGGCTGACTTCCTTCACCTCTGACCACTGGCCTCTTACTCTGTTGTTTCTCCACTGCAAGTGCCCACTGATATGCTTCAGAAACTATCCACAATGAATGAAGGCTGAGAACATCCTGCAGGGGCTGCCTTAATCCCTCCAAATATCGTGCTACCATGTGTTCCTCCGTCTCAGATAAATCATTCCGAGCCACCAGCTAATAGAATTCCTAGTATAATCATTGACTGATCTTGTGCATTGCCTTAGTGAATAGAGCCTCTGAAACAAGGTTTGAGAATAGCCAAAAGGGAGGAAGTGCCCTTTCATCTTCTTCTTCATCTTCTCCCAGTCAGTAATTTTGGATTTTCCCTCTCGCTCCCGTGAACGCTTCAACTCGATGCAAATGCTTTACCTTTGAGTTTGATGGTGACCAGTTTCACTTTGAAATGATCTGGAACCTCCTTATATTCAAAAATTTGTTCCACTTCATTCAGCCAATCAATAAATCCTTCTCCCAGCTACGTACCAGAAAAGTCGGGCAGATCCACTCTAAACCCGAGATCCACATGATGATCCTCCCATCCACGATGCTCCCAAACTCGAGCACGATGGTGATATGGGTTTTCAAAACTGGTATCAGAATCGTGACCCTCCACATCATGATTACCGAACTCCTACTCCGCCAAACGTTGTGTTAACTACGCAACTTGTCTCTGCAAATCTACAATTATCACATCCTGAATATTACGATCACAGTGCAGGACTTCCTCAATCGGAACCTGCCCTCGACAACCATGTCCATGAACCATTATAACTGATGGAATTTATCTCCCAAGAAGATGCTGACGCTCTGATACCAACTAACGTCGGGTAGGATAGTGATTATCCTATTGGCTTATTGTAGCAGATGATTCGCAAGAAAAGAACAACAGAAAATGCCCAAAAACTAGAGAAAATACTCTGAAATCAACTCAATATTATTAATCATGCAGAATCACCAAAATTAACCCACAAGCCTAGTTAAATAGCTGTGAAATACGAAATTATGGGAAAATTATCAAAAATGGCAAAATCTCGAAATTATACTAGAATAAAATATTAAGTAAAAGTAGGTTGCCAAAACTTTGGCTCAATTCGAGTTTTCTAACATATGGAAAAAAAGGAAACGAAATATTACCATAAATAGCAAAAAATAACTTAAAATTGAATTTTGGAAAGGAAAACAGCAGATTTTGGGCTTGAAATTGATGCCCACTAAGCATAGCTAGGTGTCCACGACATGCGCACCAAAGAGGGCTTTCCAGATTGGGGTCATAATAGCGATTCCGATAACCATAGCCAAAGTTATGGCCAAATTACCAAAGGCGCATCAAATTCCCACAATTAAGGAAATAATTAGATTTACTTTTCATCTTTGCGCCGATCTGCCATCTCTTGGTATCTCAATGCCATCATCATGCTATCTAACAAATCAGCATCACTCGACTCGGATCCTCCTGCATCAATACCCCTCTATAAGAACCTTACCCCCATTATTTTGGTAATATTTTCATCAGCCTCGGGCAACTTTTGCAACCGTCACGTTTAGATTTTTTCTTCAAAAGTCATTAAATGTAATACCTTAATTTAGTAATAAAAAAAAAGTAAAGAAAAAGAAAAGTCAACATTGTCAAGCAAAAAAAAATGAAAAGCAAAGAAAAATGGAAAAGTGAGGCGGTGGTTTTAAATATTGATCACTCCATTTCATCCTAATCCTATTTATATATAAGTCCATTGACATACAAAAACATATATATACACAGAGAAATCGAGATGTAGAGAGAAAAGGAAGGGAAGAGGGGAGAGGAAGGGGGGAAAGTTTGCCTACGTCGTTAGAAAATAAGTGGTCCATATTATTAGGCTTGAATTCCTCAATTTTGAAAGGTAAGTAAAAGTTACTTATAGTAAAGTTATGTTTAATTTTATAGTTGTTAGATTAAATTCAATTTTATTGCAGCGGCTTAGTATAATAAACTATGAAATTGAGTTAAATGAAAGAAGAACTAGTTTTAGTGATTAAATAGACTTTAGAATCGCTTAAACGTGAAATGATTAAGTTTGGGTATTGCCTATTTAATTATTAAAATTACTTAAAATAATTAATTTTTGATTTAAAAATTATATCATATTTCAGGTGGCGATTCGAATATCGACACAGCTTACCAACCAAGTTGATTTTGCATACATAGTTCTGTGAGTGAAAAAAACTTAAATATTTTTAAAGTATTTATAAATAAGTATATTATTAAAGTAAGTGTAATTATATGTAATTATGTGTTCGAATTATATGGTTATTATGAAAATTTCTTTTATTATGATACATGTGGAATCTCAAAGATTATTTATGGCACATTTGTGATTTGGTATGTGAGACATGTGATATTAAGATTTATTTGGTATGTGAGACATATAATATTGAGATCTAACAGAAAAGTATCCATGATTATATACTTCTTCTAGTTCATAGAGGGGTCTTGGCCATATTTTATCCTACACAGAGGGGTCTTGACCTGACATTAGTCTTGATCATGTACATATAGTTCACAGAGGGGCCTTGGCCATGTTGTAAAATTGATTATTAGAGGTCTTGAGACCAGCTTTCATTCATGGAGGGGACCAAAGGCCTGTGGCGAAAGTTTTAGCCTAAGGGGCAGATTATAGATTTTAGTCGGAGAGTGCATTTTTTGTGGATTTTTCCAGTATATTTGATGTGATGAGATTATAGTATGATTACCAACTTATGTTTATATCATGATTTGAGCTATTTTATGACGTTATGTGGATGTCTAAATTTTTTGCTATAATTATATGATGTTATCTAGCGAATTATTCAATGATATGAACTCGATTTTCGATAAAAATATAAAAATGAAAAAGTATAATTATTTTTGAACTTCTATTCTCACTAAGCTATCGACTCATAATTTTTCTGCAATTTTTCCTACAGGTAGCAATTGATTCTTCTTAGCTGGAAGAGTCTAATGACTTCAGAATGAGAGCCACACGACATGTTGAGTGTTATAACTCATATTGATGAAGCATGAAGTAGATATTTTGGGCCCATCGCATTATTTTACATAAACATTTGATTTTGTCCCATATTTTATAGTAACTCATAGTTAGCCTTGATGGTAGATCTGGCATCTAGTCAGTATTTACCATCGGCGTACATCACATTTCGGGTCCATAGGGTGATTCAAGACGGGTCGTGTCATTAAAAATTGCTTAAAAATTGGTAAGAATCTTACCCCACACAAGGGCAATTTTGGTAATATATTTATCGGCCTTAATCAACTGTTGCAGCTTTTGCTTAAAAGTCATAAAAAATTGCTGGAAAACTTGGGATAAGAATTTGTAATAGCCAGTGAATGCTTATCAATTTCAAGTGAAAGCACAATGCTTCTTGACTTTCAAATCTTTGCTTGAACAATTTTTGGGCATTATAAGCCTGATAGATCGAAGATGGCTCATGCTGCTGTTGTTTCTCTTATGAACATTCTTGATGGGATCCTCAACCCCTGTCGAAATTCATATTTAAACCTCGATGAAAAGATATTCTGTATTTCAATAGATGAAAGAGACAAAATGGATCTTTATTTGCAAAGCTGAGTTTATTACTAGATTTCCTTAAAAAATCTACCCAGAGACATAGCAGCGAAGAAGCGAAATTACTGGAGATAAAAATCATAGACGTGGCTTATCATGCGGAGGATGTAATTGAACTCCGCACATCCTATCATTTTCTTTCAGAAACTCAGAGTCCTTCAAGAAAAATACTCTCCAAGCTCTCCAGAAAGAGACCTTCTAGTGATCTTTCTATAAAATTGCAGAAAATAATAGGAGAAATCGATTCCATCATGGAAGAGATGGCGAAGGTTGATTATGGGGACGGTGAACATAGTATGCAACCAAGGACTTCTTTGCCATCAAAATTTGCTCCTTGTGGCCAGACCACCATGGTGGGATTTGATGAAGATTTGAAGCAGATAGAGGATCGACTCTGCGTTGAACAACAATCTAAGCTCCAAATCATTCCCATTGTTAGGATGGAAGAAAGTGGTAAGACCACTCTAGATGTGAATGTTTATGATGATTCATTTGTGACATATCACTTTGATATTCATGCTTGGGTAACATTATCCCAACACTATAGTGTACGGGAAGTTCTTCTAGGCTTTCCAAATGATATTGTTGTTCTTACTCATGAAAATCGTCAAGAGTCTAATGAGAAATTAGCTAAACATCTATACAAAAGTCTAAAGCGTAAGAGATATCTAATCGTAGTGGATGATATTTGGAGTATCGAGGCTTGGGATGAAATAAAAATATTATTTCCAAACGATAACAATGGAAGTCGAATCATATTCACAACCAGGCTAATAAATGTGGCTAATTATGCCAACTCTTTTAACACCCATCACCAGATGCGACTTCTTAACGAGGAACAAAGTTGGAATTTGTTTCTTGAAAAGGTGTTTGGACAAGAAAATTGCCTTCCTAAATTGGAAATTATTGGTCAGTAGATTGCAAAAAATTGTCATGGACTTCCTCTGTCAATTGTGGTAATTGGTGGACTCTTTGTTGAAATTTTGCTGAAAATTTTGTACTATTTGGTGAATGGAAAATTAAGCCAAATTTAAATAACTTAAATACGTGAATGATTGGAAAAGTGCGTAGAATATTATGGAATATTCTAGAAATTATTTAACTGAAAATGTGTCTTTCTATATGAAAGATTATGACTTTTGGTATTATCATTTTCCAAAAAACGTGTCTCTTTAAATATAGAAACTAATTCCAATAGTTTTGTCTCTTCCATAGGTTGTGTCTTTTGAGACAAACCTTTTCAACATCTATATATTAACCCCATATGTTTGGATTTAATCATTTAGGAATTTCAATTCATTCCATGATTCCATATTATTCATTTCATGTCAAGTTAATTAAAATACTTTGTAGAAATGATTATGTCTTGCATCAAAGTCATGTTTATGGTAGAGAGGGAAATCCTTTCGAGTTCGCTGGTCAAAATCATTTGGTGTGCTCCTATGACTTGATGTGATCATTGTATCTTGGGAGATAATTGCTGGAAAACCGTTAGCACCAATGCGAGGTAAATTCATTTTAAGGACCAAGTGTCAAACATTTGCCTCGACCAAAAATTCGTCACTTGCATCTTTCTTCCTTTATTTTCTGATTTCTCTTAATTATGGTTTGATTTTAGAAACTAATTAACATTTACATGTTTGTTCTGCGAGGTTGATTCAAAAAATAACTTGCTTTCGTTCATGAATCGAAAGAAATGAATCCATATTCATGCATTCAGATTCGGTAACTATTATTGTTTTGCTGCTCAAATTCTATTTTTGTAAGTCTAAATTACGTTTCAATTTCACGCAAATAAACGATATGCTTTTGTGAATATGATATGCACATAATCAGTGTATTCCCCAACAATCTCAAGATGAAGTTTGTGTTCGTTTTCATTGTATATTCTGTTTCAAATCTGCCAACCATACTACTCACTTAAAGGAACAAATTGGGTTCTATTCAAAAACTGCAATTTGAAATTCTGCTATATTTTATCATAAAACGGAAATCAAATCCGAACTGGTGCGTACATGGGAACCCAATATTACGTGAAAATACGAATGGAGACGTTTGAAGATAACTGTAATTATAGAGTTTCCTTCATCTTGGCATATGCATTTTTCCTTAAACATGTGCAGATTTCTGCATGCATCTGGTAATATATTTCTTGAAAATATTTGGAAAGACAGATGGCATGTGTGACTATAAATATTTGGAAAGACAGATGGCTTGTGTGACTATAATTAAATGCACATGTTGCTATAATTTGAACCAATGGAATTACACTTGACATTCTGCCATACTTTGAACATTTTAGTTTGTGAAATTTTTCTACTAGCCTCGAAAAATATGATGTTTCTATACAATGTCCATGTTGGGAACTTGTGAGTGACCATTTTCTTCTATGTGAGATTGCAATATCTCTTATGATATGGAAGTGAACATTCCTATAAATGGAATAAATTTATACAATGGATGTATAAATGTTTGGAATATAAGTTGTTATTCCTTCACTTTGGTCATGATGAATTGGATATTGTTATAACCAACTCGAGTACAATAATGAATGGATGGAAATAAGGAAATTATTCCTAACCATTGGGCATATAAGGATGCCAATTATTTGATAAAAGTATATGAACTTTCATGACGATTCCTTTGATTAGAATACGATACTGACATGGTAAATTAGTTGGTTAAAATTTCAAATCTTATTGAAATTATACTAACTTTGACTATGATGATAGCCTAAATTAATTTGATAAAATTAAGTGAGATGATTTAAATGGATATCATTATTTAGTAATGAGAATTATGACACTTAATTATTTGAAATTGTAGAAAATTGTGTAGAATATTATGAAATATTATGAATTATTCTACGATCAATTTAGAAGAAAATGTGCGTCCTTTCATATGAAAAATCATGACTTTTGATATAATTATTTTTCAATGGGTGTATCTCTTCATAGAGATTAATCCAAGAGGTGTGTCCTTTTATAGGATTGTGTCTTTTAAGAACACAACTTTTCAACCGATGGTTAAATGAAACTATCATGTGAAATGTCACAAATGTGATAAGTTGCATATGTTTGAAGAAGTTGCAATGCTTAGCCCTCTTTATTGTTGAATTTGACTTCAATCATGAAACCAATTAAGTTGGTATATTTTTTGAAAGCATTATTGGTCCATGTAATGGCCTTGATTTAATTTGGATGATCAAAATTAATTAGATTGAAGTACGTTCTGTGCAAGTTGACGACCACTACTTTGAAAGTACATGGACTTTTACAAAGCACTCGATACGGATATTATGAATTGAACTATGAAAGAGTTGATGAACTCTAAGTTCAAGAATAACCTAAGAATGTGGGGAGTTAAATTTAATGCTTGGGAACTTGAAATGGAAAGTTCAAAACTTGTGGATGCAATATTACTAGATTGCATATGTATTCTTAATTGAGAAATTATGGGGGTAAGTTAGTTTAATAGTTACGTTTGCTTCTATCTTGTAATCACAAAATGATATCTATCAAGGTGGAAAGATAGAAAACCCTTATACTAATTATAAGGACGATATATACTAAGTTTAAAATGGATGAAATGGGTTGTAAAGCCGATTATGGCGTTTGTTTAGACATGCAAAAACAATTGGAATATATGAAGAGTACTCATAAGGTTCAAATGCATGGTAATGTTTCAATGATGATATTGAATACCCATAATTCTGAAATCCACTAGTAAAAGTGATTGACTAGTATAGCGTTTGATAGAAATCCTCCAACTGTGTTTGGAAATTGATAAAGCTTTAGATAAAACTATAATGAGGCATACAGCTTTATGAGAGGATTTCTTGGTGGCGACAATTTGTATCTATCAAATGAATTGATCATTGGCTGGCAATATTTGATAAGCTACTAAGTCACATGTAATGTTAGGTCTAGACGTATAAGTCATAGACATAATACCATTAAGCAGATGATCTCAGTAGTATAAACTCGTGGTACCTTTAAGAGATTTATCGAGAGATTAAGTATACTGCTTATTGAAAGGAATGAGATTGAAGCCTACTATGTTAGAGTCCTTGTAATGGTAACCCTACCTTGTTGACTGGAGATCCCAATATCTTGGTTCAAAGGGACAACTAAGTTATAAGGATTCCATGAAACACTAAGGAAAATAATTTCCTAACTCATTCCTATGATATTTAAGTGGCTTCTGCGGAGTTGCAAGAGGTTAAGATAATCTTTTAATGATTTCTATATCTTGATTAAGTCAAGTGGAGTAGGACAGAATACTCTTAATAGGAGGTCACCTATGTGAGTGTAAAGTGGGACCGCTTCAATAAGAATTGTTCAATGCTTAAATTCTCTAAACACTCGCAGAACAAAGAAGGGTTCAGGGCCAAAATGAACCAAGTCATGAAAACCATGAACGGTTTAGGGAAGACATTGTATGAGTATCGTTGTATTGGCTTACACTATAGGCTGAATGGTTCAAGATATCACGTTCATCAATTAGCCGAGTAAGTCCGATGATATTTCACTAAGGGAGGTTCAAGGCCAGAAGCTACCATCCTTGATGCAGAATTTTTTCGCTCTCTTTAATAGTGTCTGGATAGATATTTGCATTAATTTTCATTCATGTGGGGAATTGGTGGAATTTTACTGAAAATTTTGTATTATTTGCTGAATGGAAAATTAAGCCAAATTTAAATCACTTAAATGCGTGAATGATTAGAAAAGTGTATAGAATATTATGGAATATTCTAGAAATTATTTGGCTGAAAATGTGTCTTTCTATATGAAAGATTATGACTTTTGACATTATCATTTTTCAAGAGACGTGTCTCTTTAAATATAGAGACTAATTCCAATAGTTGTGTCTCTTCTATAGGTTGTGTCTTTTGAGACAAATCTTTTCAACATCTATATATTGACCCCATATGTTTGGATTTAATCATTTAGAAATTTCAATTCATTCCATAATTCCATATTATTCATTTCATGTCAAGTTACTTAAAATACTTTGTAGAAATGATTATGTCTTGCATCAAAGTCATGTTTATGATAGAGAGGGAATTCCTTTCGAGTTCGCTGGTCGAAGTCATTTGGAGTGCTCCTATGGTTTGACGTTGTCGTTGTATCTTGACAAATGATTGCTAGAAAACCGTTAGCACCGATGCAGGGCAAATTCATCTTAAGAATCAAATGTCAAACACTTGCCTCGATCAAAATTTTATCACTTGCATTTTTCCTCCTTCATTTTCTAATTTCTCTTAATTATGGTTTGATTCAAAAACTGATTAAGATTATTTACATGTTTGTTCTGTGATGCTTGATTCAAAGAATAACTTACTTTCATTTAAGAATCGAAAGAGATGAATCCATATTCATGCATTCCAATTCGGTAAATATTATTGTTTTGCTTCTCAAATTCTATTTCGGTAAGTCGAAAATACGTTTCGATTTCACGCAAATAAACGGTATGCTTTTGTGAATATAATATGCACATAATCGGTGTATTTCCCAACACTCCTCTCAAAGGAAAATAAAATACAAGACTACTGGGAGCATGTTGCAAAAAATTTAAAATCAATTGTGATAGAAAATGACGACCGGTGCTCAAAAATATTAACTTTAAGTTATGACCACTTGCCTCATCATTTGAAAGCGTGTTTCCTTTACATGGGAGCTTTTCCGGAAGACTATGAGGTTCGTGTCTGTAAACTCATCCAGTTATGGGTTGCTGAGGGATTTTTAAAGCTACATGATTTCGAAGTCTTGGAAGAGGTTGCAGAGGAGTATCTTGCAGATCTTATTAATAGAAATCTTATTTTGGCCCACAAGAAAGGGTCTAACGGGAAAGTTAAAACATGTAACTTGCATGATCTTTTGAGAGAGCTTTGCATTAGAATCGGTTAGAAGGAGAAATTTCTTTATATCAAGAACATTAAATCAAATGCCCTTTAAGTCAACACAATTCAGCAGCGCCGCCTGAGTATTAATCCAAATGTTGTAAAAGATAATGAAGATATAGTTTCATTGAGGACATTCGTGAGACATGCAATCAATTTCAGGTGCCCATTCACTTTTACTTATCGGTTCATATCCTATTGAATCCGAAAATCATTGTTGTTTTCGAATGTTGAGGGTATTGGAAATGGCTGAAACGAAGCTTCTTTGGTTCCCTGAAGAAATATTGAATCTAATTAACTTGAGATACCTTGCTATGAGCTGCGAAGATGATTTTCCTAAATCTATTTCCAGACTCCGGAATCTAGAGACATTAATTGTTTACTCGCCGCAACATCAATTGCCCAACATAGCGTGGGAACTAGGGAATATGCGACAGTTAAGGCATCTCAAGTTGGTTTGAATTTTCCTGCCCTGTTCTCAGTTTCAAACTGTCCTAGAAAACCTCAGGACAATTTCGGCAGTAGCAAATTTTAAATGTATAGATATGATCGTCCGTAATATTCCAAATCTGAAGAAATTGGGAATTTATTTGGGAGGTAATAATAAGGATACAATTCTGAGCTGATACAACTCTCTCAGCAATCTTTGCAGTTTCAGTAAACTCGAAAATTTAAAATTGGGCTTTCAATCTCCGTCAGACTTCACCTCCCTGCGGAACATTAATTTACCTCCAAGTCTCAAAAAGATATCTTTGAATGGTTGTAGAATTCCTTGGGAGTTTTTTTCGATTTTCAATTCGGTGCCCAATCTAGAAGTGCTGAAGTTACATTATGCCTTCATAGGCCCAGAGTGGGTACCAACTGAAGGGGAACTTCCCAAACTAAAATTCCTGCAAATTTGGGGGACCAATTTGGTTTACTGGAGAGCTGAAGATAACCATTTTCCAAGCCTTGAGCACCTAGTCCTTAGGAATTGCTCGAAACTTGTAGAAATCCCATCTAGTATTGGAGAAATTCCAAGCCTTGAAACAATTGAGATGGATGACTCTAGTCCATCAGCGGTGGATTCGGCATGTCAGATACTGGAGGAGCAACTGAACCAGGGAAATGACTGCCTTCAACTTGTTGTCTATCCACGCAGATCCGAATTCTAAAGGTAAATCCACTTTGCTTCCTGATTTTACATATATCAATGTAAAAATTGATCAACAAAGACAAGCGAAAAATTTATCAGCTCGAGACAACTTCATATGGTTGATCGATCAGACAAGCGAACATTTGATAAGTCCAATGTTATTTTGTTTTCCAGTTTTTCATTTATTTTTTTCTAATGCAACGGGACTGAGATAGGGGCATTGAAATAAAAATAAATAAAACTTTTCCTTGTCTCCAATTCAGTACTCCCTAAGACCCTAACTCATATGAACTCTTGGTTTCTAATATTCTTCTACATCACAAGTGATTTCTTATTTGAAATTCTATAGCTTACTGGGATTTTAGTTCTTTCAATTAAATATGAATAAAATATTTCCTGAGCAATAAACAATCCAAATTGTAACTTTGTATTACAGACATCGGTTGAGTGATGAAAATCCATCCTCAGACCATTTTACTAACTTTATTTTGGTGTTGTTTCTTTCAATGTAGCATTACAGGCAGAACTTGGGGAGGTATCTTAATTGTCAAGTTTTTATCCAAAAATCATGGGATTATGCAAATAAATGTTTGATTTTGGTTACTTTTACGATTGTTTTGTCTGTTGTATGATGATATTGAGAATGTATTATTTCAAAGAGGTTTGTAGTTACTTGATTGTATTATGTTGTATAAGTTTATTGGATGGTTGAATTCGTATGGATATTTTTCTCAAGATATCTCTTTCATCTTTATTACATTATTGTTTGAAAAACTCAATATTTTGCTCTTGCTATGGCATCCATATCATATTATTCCTTTGCTTATGCTTCTTATTTACAACTATGATTCAAATAAGACATTGATCTGGGTGAAAAGGGATTAGTTGAGGCTGAAAGTTGAAGATTAGCTTCAAACGTTAAAGATCAAATTCAGTGGTAACATTGACATGTATTACAAGAAGTTGTCTAACTGTTGTGTTTGGAGGAAACTAAATAACGAGCAATTCTTCTTACAGGCTATAGCTTAATTTATGCTGAATTGTAACTGTTACGCTCCAATTGCTAGCTTTTGCTGCTGACCAGATTAAATGAGTGCTCGGAATTGATGCTTCATGTTTGGATCATGTAGAACCCCAAATAACTCTAGACACCTTAGTAGCACTAAGACATGAATATTGGATGACTAAAGTATACTTCAGATTTTTAGTCTCATTTGAGACCCATTTTCGACATAGGAAACATTCGATTTAGAAAATGATATCTAAATAAAAGTTGTAGCTCTTTGAGTTAGCTTTCCAACGCACTTTGAATTACCTCAATCGGATATCGGGAGAAGAAGTTATGATAGAAATATTGAAGGCTATGCAGTGTCAACCGGACTACAACCGGTCGACCGAAACTGCCTGAAATGAAAATTCTCGTTTTTCTCTAGAATTTAAATATTTATTTTCATCAATTATTTTCCCCAAGGGCCACCCACATTTTTGGCAATAAAAACCCCACTAAATTGATGCATTTAACCTCAAACTTAAATGGCACCTATGTTTTCTCTCTTAAATGAAATTTGACCCTTCATTAGCTTTAAGTTATGGGATATTTACCTATAAATAGAGATCTCATTTCACTCATTTTTTTCTCACACCAAAAGCAAGAGCTTTTACATACTAAAGAAAGAGTTTCCAAGAGAGAGGGAGGAAAATTATTTTTCCTAAAAGTTTAAGAAGTGTTTTCAAGCATTTTTCATAGAAGTTTTGGGTGCATCAAGGAGTGTTTTCAAGCATCAATTTTCAACGGTTTTCAAACATCCAAGGAGTGCATTTCTTTCAACGTCCAAGTTTCATCGAAATTTTCAATCCAAGTTTTCAAATTTTCAAAAGCATCAATCAAGATAGGTAGAGGTGCAATGTATTTAATCGTGTTAAGTTATAAGTTTCGATTCATGTTAATGTTTGTATGTCAATTGGTACTCCAGTACGGCATATCCCTCTATGTTAATGGTTGTATGTCAAATGATACTCCGGTACGACATACCCCTCTATGTTGAAGAAATGTTCGTATGTCAAATGGTGCCCTCGGGTACGGCATACCCCTTCATGTCAAATAGTGCCTCCGGGTACGGCATGTATGAAAAGTTATAAAGTTAATGTTTTGAAATGTATAGCTTGATCACGAATGCACCTATGACACCTATTGAGTTTTTCAACTCACGGGTTTAATCACATCTCTACAGATTGAAGGAATTCTACCTCGGGCATGGATGGAGGAGAAGATGGAGAGTGATGCAACGAGACCATGGAAATCCGGTGAATAAGTGATTTGGATTTATTTTTATGAAATGTTTTCCAATATTATTTCTTTAAAGTTTTGAATAACGCAGAATGCGAGAACAAGTTATGTTTTCTTCAAATAAATTACATTTTGTTGTTTTGAAAAATGATTCAGTGTTTTTGTTTAAAGTATTTGAAGTATTGTTATTTAAATTATTATCCGAAGATGTAAGCTTCCGCTAAAACATATACACTTGTTACTAAACCACCGGTTAAGCTAAGTAAAGTAAGTAGCATTCCGGTCCACTGGGGGTCGGGGCGTTACAGATCATTTACTACTAAGGCTATTCAGTTCTATTTCCTTTTCCATTTCCATTGCTTAAAACGCAGAAATAAACTTTAAAAGTTATGTAGTGGTCTACGAGTAGCATATTGAAATAAGTTGAAAGCCAATCATTCCTAAGAGCACCATGAAGAGACTCTTTCAAAGTAAAACATTTTATTTTAAAGAGCCAATTCTTAAAATTATGTTTCAACATGATCTTGAATTTATCTTATTAAAATCGAAATTTATTTCTTGACGGTGTTTGGGAAAGCAAATTGCCCTCCTGAGAATAGATTCTGGGGTGGGATTTCAATTTTGAATATTTTCAAAAGAACAACTGAAAAATATTATAGTTTGAATAGTAAAGGAAATTGAGTTGTTTCACCACTCTAGAAAGTCGTCCCATAAATAAGATGTGACTTGGTCTAACCATAGTGCCCAAATAATTTCAAACCGTGTGTGATCCAAACATGAAGTTTCCTATGAAGCAATGCAATTGACTTCTTGTAGACATACGAATTCGGCAACTGTATATACAAGTTGGAATATAAGTGGATATCATTAAGAAAGAGATGCATATGAGACATGTGGTACCAAAAATGTTGTAAATAATTCCCGATCAATTTCTTTAACTAGAATGTTTGAAAGAGATAAACACAAAGTATTAATCTTGAAACGCATTAGTTCAGATTCCCCTTTCTTTTGCCTTTCGTTCCTTTATAATGGTTGGTGGACATGAGTTTGTCACTATAGTCACACCAAGCTACAATGTTGCAACCTCGGGCCATGTGCCAACGCATGTAAAAAGGTACCTAATTGGTTGGATAATTCGATGGCAATGGGTCATGATAGCACCTAAGCCTTAGACCTACACCCTGGGCCAACGCCTTAGATCAGCTCATTGTGAGGATTTGTTGATAGGGGCAATGTTGCAATCAAAGGGGTATGCCTTCTTTCGTACCATGATGATGTTTTTACGTGACGTCTCCAATATTCCAACCAAGACTTTTGACACAATTGAAGATATTGAGCAAACTCACTTAGTTGTCCAGTCTAGATCCATTAATGGTAAAGCTCTTCTTGTCCAAGCCAATGTAGACCTTGTCTAACGTGGCCTGTAGGTTCAGATCACCTATCCGAATGGACCATAAACTATGACACATAAGAGCTCATAATAATTTGGGATATAATTATTTGCACGGGACTAAGCAAGATAGAAAAATGAGGTTGGAAAAACATGCTTGGTTTATATTCTTAGTTCTTATAATTGTCTCAAATCGCTAAATGCTCATGAAGGCAAATAAATACCCAAGAATTAACATATTATCTTATTTAGCCCCTGTTTGATAATCATTATTTGAAAACATTTTTTTTTCCTACACATTCATTTTAAACCACACATTTACACAATAAAATATTTTGCACAAAAATCCGAACTTTTTCTTACTTTTTAACTACACAATCTCTTAAAAATCACTATTCAAAACATTGTTTTCTCAAATAATGACTATCAAATAGGGTCTTATGGTCAACATAAAAGTATAAGCAAACCTAATACATCATTTTCTCATAGAATAGCAAAAGCAAGTTTGACTAATTGCAATCTTACTATAGCTAATTAGTTATTCGGAGATATTCTTCGGTGAATCGCAACAAGATTGAAGATTTGATATTTTCATTATTACAAGAAAAAAACATATGAAGAGAAACTACTACAATATTTTTTATGATTTAATTATTTAAGTTTTTGGATTAAAGAAATTACTATTGCCTCTTTTATGTAAAAGAGAGGAATTGCTACTGTTTCTGTAACTTTCTTATTTATTCAATATTTTTTAACTTATGATATACTTGAATTTTTGTTTGTAACAAAATTTACACTTCACCTTTCTGATTATAAATTATATATTTTAGTCACATTCCTTGATTTTTCCTTGAGCAACTAGCAACTACCAGGAAAATGAGAGGTAGGTGCGTTTGATTTTTATTTCTGGTCAAGGAGTTCACATTCGAGGACTTGCATTTTTTCGGGAAATTTTTTTAGAAGAATCTGTAAAGACCCCGTCGATCAGAATAATGCTTCCTTGATGCTTTCACTATTCATTTCTTTGCTTGAGTGATTTTTTGGCCTTGTGAGATTCTGAGAGATTGGAGATGGCTCATGTTGCTATTGTTTCTCTTATGCACGCTCTTGTGCAGATCCACCAACATTCAAATCCACATTGGAATCCTTATGAGCAGTAAGAAATTGATTGTCTTTTTAAAAAACTCAGCTTTTTACTAGATTTTCTTGAAGAATATTCCCAAAATAGCAGCTGTAGCGATTTTTCCCCTCTTCAATGCTTGATCAATTCAGATTTACAGAATTAGAAAACAAGACACAGACTTGGCATAACATAAATCCAGCAAAGAATTAGATTTTGACACAAGAATTTGATGTTTTTTTTTTTTTGGAGACAAATTTCTTCAACCACTGCAGGGAATTTTTCCCCCAGTATTTAACAGAATAGTACACAGTGTTTATTTGCACAAAACACTAGCACTCATCACTCAAAAACGAGACACTACCAGAAAACTCTCAGAAAGTTACAAAGATGTGTTGCAGAGACTTTTTCTCTCACTATCTTTCTTTCTCTAACTACGGAATGTGACTCCCCCCTTACTCTCACATTTCACTCTTGCATTCTATTTATAGACCTAGATCACAGAGATATACTAGAAGTGTATGTATACATCAGTTATAACTACTACAAGTTTACAAGTAACAGTCTCATGGATTCTAACTAATTGTAACCCACTTAACTGATTTCCTAACTATAGTGTTCAACAACCGAATCAAGAATCAACTTATTCTTTACAATCTCCACCTTTGAGTCTTGATGAGTATTGTTAAACTAAGATTGACTAAAAAACACCCTGCATGGTTGAACGTCCAGCTTTAACCTTCAGCCATCCAATGCCCCATGGATCTTGCCAGCTGGAACTACTTTTGGTGAGCAAATCAGCCCTTCAGCAGGATCAACTTCAGTGGCAACTTTCACCAATCTAACTTCCCTCTTGGAAATTATATCTTGCACACAAAAGATTTCAACTTTTTCCTGCTTGTTACACATTGGCCAATTAGAACTTCTTCTAACTTCAGCTTCCTCACCTGCATTTTCCACTTGCATCTCATTATGCAGATTTCCAGCTCCACCATTTTGGTCAGTCTCCTGGTGATTTTCCTGTGATGAGTACTTCAAATCCAAACAGATATATCCAATATCAGCTTTGGTTTTTTGAGTAACAGATGCAAACTTAAACTTGTGTGCTTTTCCCAACTCGTTAGCATTCTTGTGTCCAAGCTTTCCAAGCCACAACACATCATGATCTTCCTTGCTTTCAGAAATAGTAGCTTCACCATTGACAGCTATGCCTTGCAAAATATACAGACCCTTTTACAACAGACCTTTCATCACAACCAAAGATCCCTTCATAACCTCGAGTGCTCCACCTTGAGCCTTGTAGATGCAACCAGATTCATCCATAGTGCCGAGTGAGATAAAATTCCTCTTAAGGCTTGGTATATGTCTTACACCATTCAAGATTAGAGTGTTACCATCCCACATTTTCAACTTAAGAGCTCCAACACCTACTATATCACAGCTATAATTATTTCCCAGGAAAGCTTTACTCTCATGATCTGGTTTGTTCTCCAAGAAAAGGTCTTGTCTGGGTGTCATATGAAATGTGCACCCGGAATCCATAATCCATTCATCCTTGGCATCTAAACGTGTCACAAACAGAACATCAGCAGTTTTATAACCATCCAAGAAATTAGCCAAGTCTCCATTGTTGTGATTTTCTTGCTTTTGTCCTTTGTTATTTCTTTGAGGATATTCATTTCTAAAATGTCCTTCTTTGTTGCAAACCCAACAAACCTTCTTATCTCTAGTTTTAGATATGGACTTGCCTCTTTTCTTACCTTGATTATCTCTCTGATCATTCTTGTCTTGCACAATCAAAGCATCTCCATAAGGCTTTGGTTGCTCTCCATTAGTTCTCAAATCTAATTCTTTAGAGTAAGCTGCACTTATAACCTCTTCTAAAGTTAGACTCTTCCTCCCATACTTCAGAGTGTCTCTTAGTTGTTCATAGGGCTTTGGTAAAGAGTTCAACAGGAAGATGGCTTGATCTTCCTCTTCTATCTTGATGTCAAGATTTTCAAGATCTGCAACCAGCTTGGTGAATTCATCTGCATTCTCATCAATGGATTTCATATCATCCATTCTAAAGCTGTAAAACCTCTGTTTCAGGTAAATTCTATTTGGTAGAGCCTTGGTCTTGTAAAGCTCTTCCAATTTGCTCCACATCTCAGTCGCCATCTTTTCTTTAATCACTTTTCGAAGAATTTGATCACTTAGACTCAGAACAATAATGTTCTTGGCTTTCTTTAACAACTCTACCTTCTTTGCACCTGTGAGTTCTTCAAGCATCTCAGATTCATCTTTGAGAGCTTCATCCAATCCAAGATTTCCAAGTGTGCTTTCATCTTAACCTACCATAAACTAAAGTCGCCCTTCCCATCGAACTTTTCAATTTCCAATCTTGAATAAGACATGTTGAGTCGAACTTCTGGCCAGCAAGTCGGTTCAACACTTCCTTCTAAAGATCTCGATCAAGAACCTGGAAGAATATTCAGTTTATGAAGCCCAAGAACAATCAGGCTCTGATACCATTGTAGCGATTTTTTCTCTCTTCAATGCTTGATCAATTCAGATTTACAGCATTAGAAACAAGACACAGACTTGGCAAAATATAAACCCAGCAAAGAATCAGATTTTGACACAAGAATTTGATTTTATTTTTTTTTGGAGACAAATTTCTTCAACCAGTGCAGGGAATTTTTCCCCCAGTCAATCTACCATTTAACAGAATATTAAACAGTGTTTATTTGCACAAAACACTAGCACTCATCACTCAAAAACGAGACACTACCAGAAAACTCTCAGAAAGTTACAAAGATGTGTTGCAGAGACTTTTTCTCTCACTATCTTTCTTTCTCTAACTACGGAATGTGACTCCCCCCTTACTCTCACATTTCACTCTTGCATTCTATTTATAGACCCAGATCACAGAGATATACTAGGAGTGTATATATACATCAGTTATAACTACTACAACTTTACAAGTAATAGTCTCATGGATTCTAACTAATTGTAACCCACTTAACTGATTTCCTAACTGTAGTGTTCAACAACCGAATCAAGAATCAACTTATTCTTTACAGCAGCGAATATGTCGGATCAGTGGAAATAAAAATCAGGGATGCGGCTTATCAAGCAGAAGATGCAATTGAATCCCGCATGTGCAATCCTGTTATTTCACAATCTAGAAGTCATGGACATGAGAGTTCTTTACAGCACCTACATTCTGTGCTCTCAATATCAGATTTGCAGAAGATAATAAAAGAATTTTATTCCATCATGGAAGAGGTGGTGATCATTGCGGATTTGTAGAAAAAAATAATAGAAATTGATACACTCATGGAAGATGCGAAGAAGATAACGGAGGGGATCGGGCAGTCAGGGCATATTTTGCCATTAAGACCTGAACCTAGTGGCTAGAGTACTCTAGTGGGATTTGAGGAAGATTTGAAGCAAGTAAGGGATCTACTCTGTAATGGATCATCTGGACCCCAAATCATTCCCATTGTTGGGATAGGAGGCATTGGCAAAACTACTCTAGCTAGGAATGTTTGTGATGATTCATATGTTGCGTACTACTTTCACATTCGTGCTTGGGTAACGCTATCTCCATAGTATCATAAGAGGGAACTTTTTCTAAGCCTGCTAGATCACTGCATTGTTCTTACTGGTGTGATAAAAGAGAGTGATGAGAAATTAGCAGATCGCCTTTACAAAAGTCTAAAGTGTAGGAGATATCTAATTGTAATTAATGATATTTGGAGTACTACTGCTTGGGAAAACATGAAATTGTTATTTCCAAATGACAACATTGGAAGCCAAGTCATAGTGACAACCAGGATAACAGATGTGGCGGGTCATGTCGGCTTATCTACAAATCATCACCAGATGCGTTTTCTAAATGAGGAACAAAGTTGGAATTTATTTCATGAAAAGGTGTTTGGACAAGAAAATTGCCCTCCTGAATTGGAAGATATTGGAAGGACAATTGCAAAAAATTGTCATGGACTTCCAATATCAATTGTGGTGATTACTGGACTTATCTGAAACATTGGTAAAGCACAAGATGAGGGGGAGCATGTTGCTGAAAATTTAAGCTCATTAATAGCAGAAAAAGATGGTCAATGCTCAGGGATATTAAATTTAAGTTTCAAGCACTTACCTACTCATTTGAAAGCTTGTTTTCTTTATATGGGAGTTTTTCCAGAAAACTACGAGATTCCCGTCTCTAGACTCATCAAATTATGGGTTGCTGAGGGATTTCTAAAACCCGAAAAACCTAAAAACTTTGACAAGGTTGCAGAGGAATGCCTTATGGAACTCATAAGTAGAAATCTTATTTTGGTTCGTCGAAAGGGGTCTGATGGGAAAATTAAATCCTACGGTATACATGATCTTTTGAGAGAGCTATGCATGAGGATAGCTCATAAGGAGAATTTTTTTTTGTGTCAAGAGCAAGTATCTGCACTTTGTTCCGGAAGAGGCAACTTTCATGCGCCGTCTAAGTATTCATGACGATGCTTCATATAGTCCAAGTGAAGAGGATGCGACTGTGCAATCAATGTCTCTTGTACGTTCTCTCATATATACTGGTTGGGATGAAACTCAATTGCATTCTTATTATTATTTTGGTTGTCTGTTGCTGAGGGTATTGGATATGGTTGGACTAGAGCTTACAAAATTCCCTGATGAAATACTTCAACTGTTAACTAAAGGTACATTGCTGTCACCTGTCTCGGTAAAATCCCTCCTGGTATTACCTTGCTTAGGAATCTACAGACTTTAATTGTTGAAGGCCCATGTGGAATTGCTATTGAACTACCGGATGAAATTTTTAATATGCCACAATTAAGGCATATCAAAATTTCTCGAGCTTCCCTGCCTCCTATTTTCTCTATCCCATTCCCTGATAGTGATAAACATTTCGCTCTAGAAAACCTAGAGACACTATCGATGGTTCCTGGCAAAAATGCCAACTGTAAAGAAGTTGGGAATCCATTATAATACCACTCTATGGCATGTTTATGATGTCCACCTCCAAAATCTTGAAACACTAAAGATTGTCTCTGATTCACCCACAAATTCAAATTTCCTGCGTAGCATCACTTCTGCCCCAAGGCTCAAGAAGATAACTTTGGAACGTGGTAGAATTGGTTGGGAAGATATGAAAATTTTTGGTTTGTTGCCAAGTCTTGAAGTGCTGAAATTGTGCAATTTTGCCTTCATAGGCCCAGTGTGGGTACCAGTTGACGGGGAATTTCCTAAACTAAAATTCTTGCACATTTGGGAGACGGATTTGGAGCACTGGAGAGCGGACAAAACCCATTTTCCAAGGCTTGAGCACCTAAGCCTATGGAAGCGCTCTAAACTGGTAGAGATCCCACTTTGTATTGGCGAAATAGAGATGCTTGAAATAATTGAGATAGATTGCTCTAGTTCTTCTGTCTTCAAATCTGCATAGGATATACTTAATGACAAACAGATCCAGGGAAATGAAGGCCTTCAAGTTCTCTTCCATCCAACGAAAGCAAGAATTAATCCTTTAAAATCTGGGGTAATTCAGTCCCTCATCCATTATTTTTTCATGTTACTCAAAACTTTTAGATGCATCAGGGCTGACATTGAAGAACATGCCTATAGTTATGGCAAGATGATTCAGGTGTAATTCATCAACGAAAAACGAAACTCAATAGACGGGTAAGTTAATTCTTCAATCTATATTTGTATGTTGTTTCTTGATTTAAATTAGCGAAATATTGATTAACCTGCCAATATATCCAGACAAAGGCCTCTCGAGCTGTTCAAACTGTCAAGGCGTCACCAGTAAATCAATTCCTCGCACATATTTTTATGTTAACTGTCTTAATTTAGATACATCAGGGCTAACATTGATGAAACTACCAATATACCTAGGAAAATTTCGAGCGATTGGTCCAACAAATGACCAGCAAGATTGATGAGAATATTGCATAAACGCAAGACACCCATGTGGTCCAGCCCAGTCCAACAAGCCCACAGATCGAGCAAGACGTGCTAGATCTCTCCGTCTCCATTACATCAAACTCCAAACTTGACGTTTAGAATATTGCATCGTCAACCCAGAAGCTCAATTGGGACAGTTGTCCAGCCCGGTCTTACAACCAGTTTCAATGCAGCATGACAATCTCTAGCTATTTTGTTTTTGTCTCATGGACACTTACAATCCTTTTTAATTCAATAAGAAGTTAACAACATAGCCATTTGTACTTTTCCTTGATCACAGCCTTGTATTGTGTCCACAGTTGAGGGTTGTATTGTTTCTTTTATTAACGGAAATCGGAGTCCTGGCGTGTTGTCCTTGATGAGGGAATACTCTTTTGCATGATGATCCGAAGCAAATTGGGTATCAAAAACCCAACAATGTGGTACTATTATAAGCTGAAATCTTAGGTACAGAATATTGTTGCTCTTTAGTCTACAAAAGTAAAATATATTGCAACTATTGATGCTATAAAAGAAGAAAATTGGTTGAGCGGGTTATTAAAGGAGTTCGGTTTTGTAAATAAGAATGATGCTTTTTTACTGATATTCAAAGTGTTGCTAGCAACGTCGAATTGATAAGGAATTAACTAAGTTGCTACTAAAAATGGGAAAAAAATTTCAAAATGGTGCTTTTGTTAGTGAGCAACTCTTTGAGACCAAGTTACGTGGCAATTTTTTGGCTATTGGATTTGGGTTCAAGATACTTCTACTGGCTAATCCACTTGACATCAAGTGCGATGCGTGACGGTGTGAACTTTTAAGAGCCAGTATTTTCTCTCTCTCTCTTTCGAACAATTCACTCAAAAAACTCTAATTCTTTTTCGTATGATTCATCTTCATCTTTTTGTGTCATTCTGGTTTTCTTTGGGGATTTAGATTAAGAACTTAGAGTTCTCCAAGTTCATGAATGAATGTCGATAAGATCGTGATTTTTTATGCATCTTTTATTATTATTATTATTATTATTATTATTATTATTATTATTATTATTATTATTATTATTATTATTAACCGGCTTTGAACGTTTACGAGAGGTATGATTTTGGATGATTTTTAGTGGCAATTTTTAAAACAGTGCAACCATGCTTAAAAGTTTATTATCCAGTGATTCCAAAATTTTTTTTTAAAATAATAAAATTACATTTATGCACCTATGTGTAATTTTCAATTTATAATTTTTTGTATAACTTTTTTTTACTCATAATTATTCTGCTTATAAGTAAATTTTATCTATGATAACTAAAAAGGAGAAATATTTACTTATAATTAAAATTTTAAGTGATAAGTAATTTTTTAGGTATAAATAAATTTTAAAGTTATAAGTTCATTTTACACTTTAAATATTTTTACACATAAATGAATTTTTAATTATGAGTATCTTTTTGTATTTTATAAGTTTTTTTTTTTAATTCTATTAGTAGTATTTTACTTTAAGAGCAATTTCTACGCATAAACTAATTTTTATCTTTTAAGTAATTTTTTTTACATATAAGTAAAGGTAATTTTTTGGTTATAAATAAATTTTTAATTTTGCACTTTTATTTACTACTTAGTTTTGAACCAATATGTAAGTCAAAATAATTATTTTATAGAGGGTAAAATTGGAATATATTTTGAGAACCGACAAAATCCATCAATTTGGCTGGTTAAGAATTATGGCCAAAATTACATTATGAGTTTTAAACCACTCATAAATTTCTTGCATTTTTACTTTTGGATCAAATGTTGTTTGTATATTCTTACACATGTTTGGTGCACATCATGGTGTACACTTTGTCACTTAGCAGGTCTGATCGTCCAATGCGAGCCACCCGTTGAGGTGGCCCTCCCTTATAGGGCGGGTAGCACCACGTGGCGATGCGACTGTCCTACTGAAGATTTTCTCCCACTAGTAGCCATTATTTTTTATTTTAAAAAAATGGTGTTTTTCCAGAGAGTTCACGTTTTTCCAGAAATTTTTATGTTTGTAACAGCCCTTGAATTCTTATACACGTGAAAAGACCCCATTTAGAAGAAGAATAATGCTACCTTGATGCGTTCACTTTTCATTTCTTTACTTGAGCGACTTTTTGGCCTTGTGAGATTATGAGAGATTGGAGATGGCTCATGCTGCTGTTGTTTCTCTTATGCACACACTTGAGCAGATCCTCCATCATCCAAATCCACATTTGAATCCTTATAAGATGCAAGAAATTGATTGTCTTTTTTAAAAAAACTCAGCTTTTTACTGGATTTTCTTGAAGAATATTACCAAAATAGCAGAGATCATGTCGTATCGGTGGAAATAAAAATCAGGGATGCGGCTTATCAAGCAGAAGATGCAATTGAATCCCATAGGTGCATCCAGATCTTTCACAATCTGAAAGCCATGGGCTGAAGAGTTCTTCACAGCTCCTACTTTCTGTGTTCCCAATATCCAACTGCGACCCTCATATAGACTTGTAGAAGATAATGACAGAATTTGATTTTATCATGGAAGAGGTGGTGAAGATTGCAGTCTTGCAGAAAAAAATAATAGAACTTGATACATTCATGGAAGGTGCGATGAAGATTACGGAGGGGATCAGGCAGTCGGGTCATTTTTGGCCATCAAG